AATCCTTAATAATCTATAAACCAATAAATAAATAAAAACACGCATATCTAAATAAACCATATAAATCTGTGCCTACAACAATAATAAAAAATATATATATACATATTTCTATATAAAGATAAACTCCATAAACTAAACTAATCGCTAACCCCTTTTCCTTCCCCAATTCCCATTCCCTACCCCCTTAAAAAACAAAACAAAACAAAAAAAAACAGCTTTCCACGCGGTCGGCGGCTACAACGCCCTGGTCACCGACTACTTCCACGCCATTCCGACCAACACAGTGTATTCGGCCGACAACCTGACGAACTGTGGCGAACCTCCTGCCTACGCCATGGACTTATTCCGGTCCGTTGTGCCCGGAGAGTCGGATCTGCCTTGGACGGGCATGCTGTTCGGGGTTACCATCTCGGGCATTTGGTACTGGTGCACGGATCAGGTGATGCCTCGTTTCGGAAAGCGGTTTTTCCGTTTTTTTATTTTCTTTTTTTTTTGCTTTTTTCGCTTTTAATCTGTTTTCTTTTCTTTTTTCAGTTTTTTTTTTGCTTTTCCCAATTTTTAATTGATTTCTTTTCTCTGTTTTTTGTGTTTTTTTTTGCTTTTTTCGCTTTTAATTCGTTTTCTTTTCCTTTTTTCGGTTTTGGTTTTCTGTTTTTTGTTTTTCTTTTTTATTGTCTGTTCTTTTCTTTTTATTTTCCTTTTTTCTTTTTTTTTGGTTTTGGCTTTTCTTTCTTTTATTCGGTTTTCTATCTCTTTTTTCTATTAAGGGGTATGGGGCGAGGGTGGTGGTGGACGGGAGGAGGGGGAGGAAGAGGAGGAGGAGGAGGAAGGGAAAGAGGAGGAGGAGGAAGGAGAAGAAGAGGAGGAGGAGGAGGAGGAAGAAGAACAAGAACAAGAACAAGAAGAAGCAGAAGAAGAAGAAGATTAAGAGCTGGAAGAGGAGGAGAAGAAGGACGGGTGAAGAGGGAAGAGACGCTAGGAGAAAGATAAGGAAGGGGGGGGGGGGAGAGAAGGAGCAGGAGGAGGAGAAAGAGAAGGGGCAAGAATAAGACGAGAAAGAGAAGGAACTGGAGGAGAAAGAGAAGAAGAAAGAGAAGGAATAGGAGAAGGAGGAAGAAGAGATGCTGGAATGTCCCCTATTCTTGTGCCAGTTTTTTAGGGTCTTTACGTGTGGGAAGATTATATATGTGGGATTATATGTGTGTGTGTGTGTGTGTGTGTGCGTGTGTGTGTGTGTGTGTGTATGTGTGTGTATGTGTGTGTGTGTGTGTGTACGTATGTGTGTGTGTTTGTTTATGTGTGTATGTGTATTCACGTTGGTGGTGGTGGTGTATGTGGAGGGGGGGTGATTTTCTGTGACTGAAAAAAAACTCGTGTGTAGATTTTTTTTTCTTTAATTTATTTTCTTCTTCTGATTTCCCCTTTTCTATGTAATTTATTATTCTTTTGTGTTTTTTTTCCTTGCTATTGAGGGGGTTTTCTATTTTCGTTTAATTTTCCACTTTTCTTGATCATCATATTTTTTTTTCAGTAATTCATCATCTATCACCACTCATTCATTACTTCTCTCATTTATCATCCATTCATCATCTATCACCATTCCTTCATTTCTTCTTTCATAATTCATTCATTTGCCATCTATCTTTCATCGTCCTTCATTATTTTCAGGAAGTCAGAAAACGTAAACAACGACAACTCCTTTAATTCCGTTTCCCTCTGCATGCTCTCGTAAACTGTGAAATGTCCAAAACAAATGTTATTTGTTGCTTAAAAAACAGCTTTGCATAACTCTTAAAAAAAATAATTTGTGATCGGTGTCCTTTTTCATATATATTTGTGCTTTTTTTTGTATTGGTTTTTGCTTTTATAAACACATCCGCTTCATGAGTCCGAGGGGGATACGTAGGTAAGGAAAACCCTTAGCTCTTCGAGGGCAGACTGCGGTAACTTCCTTCTTCCCTTCCCAAATCTCTCTGCTACGTAGCCTTCAATGCCGTCGGGGGCTACAACCGCCTGGTGGTAGACTACTTCGAGGCCGTCCCTTCACGCCTGACCTATGATGCCAACAACCGCACGTGCCCCACCGGCTTCCCACCTTCGGATGCCCTGCACCTTCTGCGGGATCCGGTGACCTCCGACCTCCCTTGGACTGGGGTCATATTCGGTCTCTCCGTTGGCTCCATCTGGTACTGGTGCACCGACCAGGTATTCCTCGGGGAGAGGGAGAAGGAGAGGGAGAGAGAATGGGAGGAGGAGGGGGAGAGGGAGAAGGAGAGGGAGAGAGAATGGGAGGAGGAGGGGGAGAGGGAGAAGGAAGGATGAAACAAGGAGGGAGAGAGGGAAGGAAAGGGGAAGGGGTGAGACAGGCAAAGGGAGAGGGAGAGGAAAATTGAGAAAGAGGAGAAAGAAAAGGAGAAGGAGAGAGAGAGGGAGAAGCAGATGCTGAGAGAGGGAGAGAGAGAGAGGGGGGGAAGGTGGAACAGAGAAACAGATGTAGAGGGAAGGAGAAAAAGAGAGGGAGGAGGTGAGGAAGAGGGAGAGGGAAAAGGAGAAGAGAGGGTGGAAGATAGCGAAAGAGAAGGAGGGGGAGAGGGTGAGGATGGGCCGAAACATGGAGGGAAGGAAGAGTGAGAGGGAGACGAAGTAGGGAGAGAAGAGGAGGAGAGGCGTTGAAATAATGAGAAAAGATGAGGAGAGAAGGGGTGATATTAGACACAAATTGGAACGAAAGTAGAAAGAGAAGGAAGGGAGAGAGAAGAGAAAATACAGAGGAAGGGGAGAGAGAGGGAGAGAAGATAGACAAAGAGGGAACAGAGAAAAG